GGAACACACTGTTTATGGTGTGAAGAAGCCCTAAATCATTGAATTGTCTGGAACAAGGACTCCTAATTTGACGGGGGAACTCAGATGTGAAGGGGGGGACTGTAATGTGAAAGGGGGGAACTTTGATGTAAAAGAGGTAGCTCTGAGAGATGGGCTGTGATTTCAAAGGGAGGGCTCCTGAAGCGAATGTGGGGGCCTCTGGTGTGAAGAGGTCCTCTAGTGTTAAGGGGGGTCTTGATTTGAAGGGGGGACTCTGATGCAATGGAGGGGAACCCCACTTTTTTTGCTGTCATTTTGTATGGGGTCCCACTTTAAAATCCATACCAGACCCGTATCTCAGGTAAAGTCTTTTATTCAGAGCTTGCTGTTCTCAAAGCGGAACTAGACTCACCAATTTAATGTCTCCCAAAAAAAGTACTTTTAAGGCATGCCTCTTGCTATGACTGTCAAGGTTGCCATTGTACTTATTTCAGTTCTCAACCAAACGTTCAAGCTCTCAAATGGCTGGTGTCATAGCTGATCACAAGTCCATCACCATAGCTACTGCCATCCAAATACAGGCTAAGATTGCAACTTCCTTGGCTATAAAGTATAGAAGGGGTGCAGTTCTGCTTTAAAACTTTGGTATAGCTTTGTGTATCAGTACTGCTTAGACCAGGAGGTAGGGAACACCCCGAAAGCCTGTCCTGTAACTGTTAGTGCACATTAAAAAGTATCACTGACAGCACTCAATTGTTTTGTTGCAAGTGCAGTAATACGTCTACAAGCAAGTTGTCAGGTAAATGTAACAATGTTTCATCAAAATCACCACTGATGTAACGCTAATTGACAAATAATTTACCTGCAAACTCACCTCCCATCCGTTGCTGGTCACATGGCCAAATGCCAGATCATTAGTCACATGATCCCCACTAAATGATATGGTCAGAGTTTAGGTGAGCTACTTAATGACTTTCTCTTCCATTCTTTGAATGACACAGCGGAGATCTTGATCTCTGTACCGATGGGTTATACCACCACTTGCAGGTATAGGACACTAGGCACCAAAAAGGAAGCTCGGCTCTGGAGGCAGCTCCTTCTGGTGGCCACACCCCCATCCAAAGCAGCTCATTTTCAGTTTGTGGCACTTCTGATTGGCCTTGTCTCAGCCCCATGGGTATTCACCAAAGTCTTGGCACTGGTCCTTGCCTTTTTGAGACAGCATTGGTTATTGGTGGTGGCCTACTTGGAAGACTTCCTTTTTCAGATTCTCAGTCTGATCTGGAAATGAATCATCCGATCAACCATCACTCTGAAGAAGTTTGGATCCTGAATTTTGGAGAATTGTCCTTGATTCCATCCCTTCGTCTGGAGTGTCTGAGACTGATCCTGGACATGTATCAGGCCACATTTTTTTCTTCCTCTGTAAAAGATTCACAGGCTTCAGCTTCAAATTCAGGCATTGCTTTCTTGCAAACTGGTGATGATTCGCACTTGTATGAGAGTACTGGGTCTAATAGGTTGCCTCCTTTGAGCCAGTTCCATGTGAACAACACCATACTCTGATTCTGTACAGACAGATATTCTTCAACAATGGGACAAGTCATCCTCTTTGCTCAACAGGCAAATCCAGGTGAATGGGACGGTCAAAGCCTCCTTGGCTTGATTGCTCAGTTTCCCTGTTTGATGAGCTGGAGTATGCATGTGATCAAACCCTGCCTTTTACATTGCACGACTCTATTACAGGGACACCCAGGCAGGATTCAGTCAGACAATGTCACTGCTGTAGCATATGTCAGTCATCAAGGAGGTACGAGAAGGCTAGCCAGAGAGCAGGACAGTGTCATCCTTTGTTGGGCAGAAAATGTGTACCAGCCCTGTCTGCTGTTTACATTCCAGGGGTAGTCAGTTGGTAGACAGATTATCTCAGTCGTCAATGCTTGGATCAAGGAGCATGGGCTCTACATCCAGAAGTTTTTCTTTAGATCTGTCAGAAATGGGGAACTCTGGATATGGATCTTCTGGGCTCCCAATCCAATCGGAAAGTGCAGAACTTTGCGTCCAGATACGACAAATGCCTTGGTGACGCCGTGGGACAGGTACAACCCTTATTTATAGCTTCCACGTTGATTGGAACTCAAAGAAATACTGGTAATTCTCATGACTCCCGATTGGCCTCGATGTCCTTGGTACACAGACATGGTGAGGCTAGTCATAGAGATCCCCTGTTGACTTCTTCGACCAGACTTTTGCTCCAAGGTCCAATCTTACATCCTGCTTTACAGTCTCTGGCTTCAACAGTATGGCTATTGAAAGCCAGGTTCTGAGAGATAGGGGTTGTCTGAATCTGTGATCCCTGCAATGTTTTGAAGCATTTATGTCTACCTCCACGAACCTGGAAAGCTTGCATTTCTTGGTGTGAGGGGCTTAGTATTTCTCCTTGTGCCTGTTTGGTTGCTCAGATTTGAGTGTTTCTTTGCGTTTAAAGGTCAAGTCTCGGCATTGGCAATCTTTTTCCAGCGTCTGTCAGCCTTGAATCCCTTGGTTTGTATCTTCTTTCCAAGCGTTTTAAATATTTCTCCTCTAGTCAAGTCTGTGGGACTTAAATTTGGTTCTTTCAGTTTTACACAATTCTCCTTTTGAGAGTATTCCTGATACCCCCTTATGACATTTGTCACAGAAGGTAACTTAGAGAGTTTCGGAATAGCTGCCTTTTGTTGTATACCTCCTTTCTTTATTTTACATAAAGATGAAGTAGTTCTTTGTCCTAGACATTTATTTGAAAGACACAGCACCTTCCCTTCTTTGGTTTTTTTTTTGTGCCTTAGTTACTGCTCTGTGACCAACTGAGCTGCTTTAGATGGGGGTGTGGCCACCATCAGGAGCTGCACCCAGTACCTAGCATCCTACTCCTACAAGTGGCGGTATAATCCATCGGTACACAGATTAAGATCTCCGCTGTGTCCTTCAATGAACACAGGGAAAAGCATTTTACGGTGAGTACTAAAAAATTCTATCATCTTTTCCTAAGTATGACTCCCAAATGAAACCTTTCCTGTGAGAAACACAGAGGCAGCCAGTGCTAACTTCTCACTTCTAACTCTTGCTTGGATGCCTCTTGTTTTGATACTTTAATTCAAACCAGAAAACATATACATGTAAACACGTATGACACTTCCTGAAATGTAAACTTGTTTCAGGTCAGTGACTCATTAAAATGTTCAAGTCAGCTAGCCAGAGCAGCCAGGAAATTAGCATTTTCAGAAGGTCTTCAAAAATAGCAGCCACCAGGTTTCTCTTTGGAAAGGTTTACTTTAAAACACTAGTAGAGCTAAATATTGTGATCTGATAACGGTATGAGGTTTATACATGTAAAGTGAGTGTCCAGTGGATGAATGCTGGGAGTACTTACAACAGTTACTTTTTTATAAATATTATTATCATGATTTAAATCCTATTTTTTTTTAAATCTGCTCCAGCAACCCCTGGCAATTTTATCATTTGTAGCTTTAGCCTGTAGCCGTCACTTTTTCTTGACATCTTGGTCTGTAAACGTGGAGAAAATAAAAATAAAAGAATGTGGACTAAAAGTGCAATTTAGATGCTGCTTACTTCAAATACATGTATTAACCCTTTATCATTATCAGAATACATGTTGTGGTCCATTAAGAACTAGCACTGTATACCTTGCACTCTATTATAAAGAAAGGCCAGTCATTAGGTGTTGGCAGGTTGCTTTCCATTGTGCGTGACAACATGATTAGGTGTAACTAAGAAGCTTAATACCTTGGGAGCAGATTCTTTAATCCCCCCTTCTCTAACTCTAACCCCTGCTGCCATACTCTGTTATCACTAAAAGATTTATGTGCTAAGTAGAACATTTCTGTAGCGCAATCAGCTTCTAACTGCAGTAAAGAGTTAAAATGAATAAAAAACATAGGTTGTTTGTTAAGGAGAACTTGTTATTACACTTGATATATGTAACCCATAAGTGGTAATTTTGGTACATAGAGTTTAGATAGACTGTCCACCCCGACTATAATCATTTCAATATCTGTCTTTTGTAATGCCACTAACCCCTACTGCCCATCATTACCTTTGCTTGTCTTGCCCATCATTTCTGTATACCTATTATGGAATGTTCATCGTTACCTGTGATACCAAAATAGATGTCACCTTTACCTGTGATACTACTGTAGATGTCACCCTTACCTGTGATACTACTGTAGATGTCACCCTTACCTGTGATACTACTGTAGATGTCACCCTTACCTGTGATACTACTGTAGATGTCACCCTTACCTGTGATACTACTGTAGATGTCACCCTTACCTGTGATACTAATGTAGATGTCATCCTTACCTGTGATACTAATGTAGATGTCACCCTCACCTCTGATAATATTATTGATGTCAACCTTAACTGTGATACTAATGTAGATATCACCCTTACATGTGATATTAATCTAGATGTCACCCTCACCTCTGATAATATTAATGATGTCAACCTTACCTGTGATACTAATGTAGATGTCACCCTCACCTCTGATAATATTAATGATGTCAACCTTACCTGTGATACTAATGTAGATATCACTCTTACCTGTGATACTAATGTAGATATCACCCTTACCTGTGATATACTAATGTAGATATCACTCTTACCTGTGATACTAATGTAGATATCACCCTTACCTGTGATACTAATGTAGATATCACCCTTACCTGTGATACTAATGTAGATGTCACCCGTATCTGTAATAATAATGATGTCACCCTTACCTGTGATACCAATGTAGATGTCACCCTTACCTGTGATAATAATAAAGATGTCACCCTTACCTGTGGTACTACTGTAGATGTCACTCTTACCTGCGATAATAATAAAGATGTCACCGTTACCTGTGATACTACTGTAGATGTCATTCTTACCTATGATAATATTACAGATGTCACCCATACATGTGACTATATTACAGATGTAATTCTTACCTTTGATAAGAATATAGATGTTGTCCTTACCTGTGATGCTGATGTACATGTCATCCTCCAGGAATTGCACTTCTTCCATCTCCTGGTCCTCTTCTTCCCATAGCACATCCCTGGCTTTCTTCCTCCAGCCCAGGTCCCTCTTCTTGCTCCCTGCTGCGCTCTTCTCTGTCCTCCTCTTCATGATCCCCTGCAGAGCTTGCACATAACTGTCAGTCAGCAGAACAGTGTATGGAGCAGCACTTTTGCAGGCTTGCTGTGACAGCAGTGCAGGGACAGTGCGCCCGCTGTGCTCGCCTTCTTGTTGAATTGAATATCCAGGGCAGAGTCTAGGAACTATTAGCATGCACAGTGCAGTTGCTCATGCTGGTGACAGAGTCGTCTCCCTGCAGCTGCGCTGTGCTCCCTCCTCCCCTTGCTGTTGTTTTGCTGAGGTTGCTGTAGAAAGCAGACCTCCGAGCAGCAGCATGCCGCTCACACGCCCCTCACTGGCCCCGGCCCGCTGTGCTGTACAGGGAGGGAGCACATCAACCAGGGCCAGAGTGGGCGGGCACCGAGGAGACCTGTGCCGAGCTGATTGGCGGCGTCCCGATGACGTCACCAGCAGCGTGTCACTTTGTTGTTCATGTCATGGCAATGTGAACTCCGTCTGCAGAGAGCTCTACTGTGTTCATCTGCGTGGTCACTATGGAAGTGATCGAGGCTTGTCCTCCGAAAATAGAATCATTCCAGATCTTAGATGTTGTCACAATGCTTATAGGCTTCAGGTGTTTGTTCTGCAGGGGGATTTAAAGATGTCTTTTTTTAAAAGACGCTGAACTTTTTGTAGTTTGTAATGTCATATACTGTATGTATTGTGCAGAGGTACAATGTATTTATATCATAGTATTCAGTCTCTGAATTCCTTTTTTATATTATTTATATTTACATGCAGATCAAGGTGTCTTAAGAAATGTTACAGTAGGTTGGGACAATCCATAGCACTGCCAGGGGGAAACTACTACTGTAACATATGAAGGGACACCTAATATGTTTGATGAAGTAGGTGTTTATTTATGTGCATGCATCCTTATTGTGTGTATTGTGAACTGGTCCTCAAACTGGAGCCCTTTGCTTGCCTCTCACTGACAGCAATGATGGAGCCCTATTCCATCCACGGACACAAATGATGGAGCCCAATTCCTTCCACGGATACCAACAACGGACCCCAATTCCTTCCACTGACAATGGGGCCCTATTTCTTTCACTGACACCAACAATGGGGCCCAATTCCTTCCACTGACAACGGGGCCCTATTTCTTCCAATGATGGGGCCCTATTCTTTCCTCTGATATCAACAATGGAGCCCAATTCCTGATATTGACAACGGGGCCCTATTCCTTCCACGGATACCAATGATGGGGCCCTATTCCTTCCACTGACACCAACAACGGGGCCCTATTCCTTCCACTGATGACAATGATGGGGCCCTATTCCTTCCACTGACACCTATGATGGGTTACTATTCCTTCCCTTGACTCCAATGATGGAGCCCTAATTCTTCCATTGACACCAATGATGAGGCGGTATTCCTTCCATTGACACCAATGTTGGGGCCCTAATTTTTCCATATACACCAATGATGGGGCCCTATTCCTTCCATTGACACCAATGATGGGGCACTATTCCTTTCAGTAATACATGTAATCAAGAACCAGCTGCACTCCTTACCGGAATAGTAGTAAACCTGCCAAGCAGGTGGGTGCTTGTAGTGACCACGGACGGCCCCGTGAACAATGCAGATCTAGAAAGGATTGTCACCAGCACACCAAAAGATTTGAAGCAAAAAGTCCTTTATTGACAAATCGCCATCCAATACTTCAAAACTTTTGGTGTGCTGGTGACAATCCTTTCTAGATCTATTCCTTTCAGTGACACCAATGATGGAGCCCTATTCCTTACATTGACACCAATGATGGGGCCTATTCCTTTCACTGACACCAACAACAGGGCCCTATTCCTTCCACTGATGCCAATGATGGGGCCCTATTCCTTCCACTGACACCAATGATGGGGCCCTATTCCTTCCATTGACACCAAGGATGGGGCCCTATTCCTTCCACTGATGCCAATGATGGGGCCCTATTCCTTCCACTGACACTAATGATGGGGCCCTATTCCTTCCATTGACACCAATGATGGGGCACTATTCCTTCCACTGACACCAATAATGGGGTTGTATTCCCTCCACTGACATCAATAATGGGGCCCTATTCTTTCCGCTGTCACTGATAATGGGGCCCTATTCCTTCCACTGTCACTGACAATGGGGCCCTATTCTTTCCAATGACACTGACGATGGGACCCTATTCCTTCCACTGAAGCAAACAATGGGGCACAATTCCTACTACTGGCACCAGTAATGGGGTACTATTGCACTTCTCACTGATACCAACATTGGGGCACTATTCCTCCCACTGACACCAATGATGGGGTACTTTTCCTCCTCACTGATACCGAGAAAGGGGCACTATTCCTTCCACTGACACCAATGATAGGGCAATATTCCTCCTTCCACTGACACTAGAAACAGAGTACTTTTCCTCCTTTCACTGACACCAACGATGGGGAACAATTCCTTCCACTGACACCAATAATGGGGCCCTATTGCTTCCATAGACACCAATGATAGGGCAATATTCCTCCTCCCACTGACACCAACAATGGGGTAATTCTCCTCCTGCCACTGACGCCAACAATGGGGCACTGTTTCTTCCATTAATACCAAGGATGGGACATTATTTCTCCTCCCACTGACCATGGGAGCTGTGTCTTTTTTACTTTTACTTAAAGTGTCTCTATAATTTGTTTTTTTCTAGTTAACAATAATGTATTATACAACAGTATCATTCTTCAAAAAAAGCTGCAGTTTGTCATTAAAAAGCAGTGAAGTGACTTTACCTAGACTGAGATTGTATCATTAGTCTGCTGCAGACAGGGGCAAACATTTTTTCCAGTCTCCTTTCCCCCAGTGATCAGACTTAATTTTTGTGACTTGTAGCAAATCACAAGGTGAGAGACTACAAGGGCTGATCTGGGTCAGGCATTTGTGAACGCAGCCAAGAAATGCACAGACACCAGTATTTACATGTTTGTTTCCTCTCTGGACTAGAACCTCAGTCCAAGTAGATGTTGACCCTGGATGATGCCTGAACAAAGATGGTGCCATATTCTGGAGAGAAAAGCAGATAAAGGGATCATCTAAGGGAGTTCTGTGATCTCTGAGAGGTAATAAATACGTAGCAGTGTTACACTTACATAAACATTACTTAGCGTGAATGCACTTAACATGAAAAAATATATCTGATGCTAAGTGCACTTTAACCACTTCAGGGCCACCGGACGTACTTATATGTCCTCATCAGGAAGTAATTGTACCAAGATCATGGTGCTGCTGCGTAATCTTGGTATCATCTTTTTCAGCAGGAGATGTTTGCCAATTACAAATGTTCTGAGCGGCTTCACTCTCTCAGCCTGCTAATGTGCTGCCCCCCGCCATGGTTTTTGGGGTCCCTGCTTTTCTGGGGGGCCCAGGACCACAGCAAACAGTGTCAGGATGGAGAGCGGGGGCAGAACGTGCAACATCTATTTTCCAATCTGCTGTGTGATCAGTGAAGCTCGATCACCTGTATTGGAGGGCAGGAGGGACATTAGGGGCAGTGGCGTCACAAGGGGGGTGCGGCCCACACCCGGGTGCCACCATTGGAGGGGTGACACCAAAATGACTGACAGTCATTTTGGTGTCACCCCCTTTGAAAAGTCGGGCACTCGGTCACGGACCGAGAGCCCCACAGTGTCAGGAGAGAGGAAGGGACCCGGCTGCATACCTCATCCCGCCGGGTGAACGTCCCCTCCTCTCTCTGCCGTCATCCATCACCAAGATGGCCATATTTTTACAACGGCCGGCCGGGAAGCGGTTAAAGTAATTTTCTATCCAAAAATTCAGTGTGCAAAAATCTAAAAAATGCCCTGGTACTGAGGAGGATAATAAAGTTGTTGGGTCTTGTTTATCAAATAACTGGCTGTATTGCCCCACAGGAGACAATCAGATTGAAATGCACCCTCTATAAATGTAAGCTTCCAGAGCTGGTCGGTTTTAATGAAGTCATTTGGATAGATTACTCATCAGACACTTCTATAATAGTGGTCCAATCTCTTTTCTAATCATGTTCTAATTATTTTCTGGCAAGTGCAGGTTTCTTAGCATGGATTACATTTTCTTGTGATTTTGTGTCGTGGACAATGTCAAAGCTTGCCGAGAGACTCTGGTTGTAACCAACTGATCTAGTGACACTGATTCAAAATAAGAGTTTTAAGTCTGTAAAGCAGCTATATGAATTAAGCTGTATATGTAGCTTCAAAGCGCCGTCACTTATCTTGATTACTAGTGCAGCCATTATTGCCAAACTATGAGCATTTTCTAGGGCAATATTTATTTTAAAAAAAAGAAGATAATTCTCATCTGTGTATTTACAACAGTGAATAGCATACATACCGTATATACTCGAGTATAAGCCGTCCCGAATATAAGCCGAGGTACCTAATTTTAGCCAAAAAAACTGGGAAAAAGTATTGACCCGAATATAAGCCGAGGGTGGGAAATGAGGCAGCTACTGGTAGATAGATACCAATAAAATTACATTAATATTTATTTAAAAGAAAAATAACCTAGCTCTGTAAGTGGAAAAGGGGGTACAGGGCTACATATCATGTACTACGGATCATTTAACCCATTCATATTAGCAGAGGATAATTGTAAATCTATTGTTCAGTGCACTCTATATGTAGTATATAGTACATGTACATATAGAGTGCCTGCAACAATACATTTACAATGATCCTCTGCTAACATGAATGGGTTAAATGATCCATAGTACAGGGCTACATACAGATCATTTAATACATTCATGTTAGTATAATTGTAAATGTATTGTCTGCACTGTATTAGCAGTATATACTCTATGCCAGATGACTCACTTTTCACCCAAAAAAATGGGCTGAAAATCTCGGCTTATACTCGAGTATATACGGTAGACTGAAGAAAAAGACAACTAATGTGGGGAATCATAAACCCATTCTCTCTCTCACAAATCTAGTTTGCATGTCTGTTTAATGTCTTTCTTTTTTAATAGTTTTCTGTATATATGAATATGAAACTTCTATCCAGTGCAGTATTGTGATATACAGCAAAAACAATTTGACAAAATAATTGATGTCACACCTTTGCATTTCCTTTTAAAGTATATTGGTATACCCA